TCTACGAGCTTCTGTCTGTGAAAGAGTCAATAAAAGGGATTGAAAGTGGAGACGGGTCTGTGCTCGATGGGGACGAGGGGGAGGTCGCGCCCGGTGCCCCCCGTGTTGCTCCCGGTACAGCCCAGTGCGGTCGAGGGGACACCAAGGAGGTGGCAGACGGCGCAGAGACACGTCGCCACAGCTACCAGCAAAGCACCCACACGCATTATAAATATATATATTTCTACCCATAAACCGTGCACACATGCAGTATACATAGTATATTTCTGTATATACATATTATATTTCTGTATATACATATTATATTTCTGTATATACATATTATATTTCTGTATATACATATTATATTTCTGTATATACACATTATATATAAATTCACGCACATAATATATATATATAAGTGCTCACGCTGTATATACACGCACACACTCCTTTTATACATCCACACAGGACGTATAAGCACAAATAATTGTTGTAATCACTCTACTATGCCTTTACACACACTACACACTTTGTACGTACGCGGTGTCTACACACATTATAAATATACATAAATTCAGTGTACATAGGAAAATAAAATAACCCAAATATATTATATACCGTTTAGACATACTGTCTATAAATTCGCTATATAGAAAAATGCAAATAATATTTTCCCCTGGAGCACGCATCCCATACCTACATGAGGAGTAAGAATATATGCAGTATATATACACAATGTATCTAATTTATATAAGCTCTGTGTATCTATAATAAGTGTGCTTGACATATGTACAAATACATGCTAAACGCCCACACTGCCCATGTACACACAAGTTTTTTCTCCCAACACTTGTCTCCCTGCAGCTTACCTGGCAGGGTTAGTGTGACCCTGGTCTTAAAGTGTTCCCAGCCTGGAGACTGGGGGTGCTACAAAGGTGGCTGGTGGATTTATGCCCCCCCTTTCATCTGGCTGATGATTTCAGCCCATGATTACATAGTCAAGATTTAAGGCTGCCTTTGATTGCTTTTCTTATCTGGAGCTACAAAGCCACATTTCCTCCCGGTGTCCCGGCTTGAGAGGCGGTGTCCCATCATGTGGGGACAGTCACCCACCCTCCAACCCCCACGGGTGTCCCCTGAGGCCCCACTGATGCTCCCCTCACGTTCCCCAAAATCAGCCTCCGCAACCCAGCAGATCCCTGCCGAGCAAACACTCCTTTCTCCACTCTCCAGAGAAAAATTCCTATTTTAAACTCCGGCCTCTGCATCTTTCTCCTGCAGCGGGGAGAGTGGGGGAGGCAGACAAAGCAGGTCAGCGAGCAAAGAGGCAGCAGGCAGGAGGGGGTCCCACCCAAATGCCCCAAATCCTGGGAATTCGAGGCTGCTCTGAAGCAGCCCAGGTGTTTGCTGCAGCTTTTAAGAGCCCGTGCCAAGTGGAGACTCCCCCTTGTAGACAAATCCCCTCCTGTGAATACACTTATAATTGAGTTTCATGCTTAGAAACATAGAAGGAATAGAAAAAGAACAATCATTTCTCCCTCCCTTTAATTAGAGAATAATAGATTTTCCCCGCCTAACGTATCTACAGGGAATCTTGATGCTGGATTACGCTGAGATTTGCTCCTTTTCAGGAGGGCTCTAATTAGTACCCGGTGCCCAAAGGCACAGAAAGTGGTCAAGGATGGAGCTCTGCATCCTCCCACCCCCACCGTGTCCGGGGGGGAGGGAGGGGTTGGAAAGGGTTTCTCCTGGAAAGGGTTAAAGCATCCTGGCTGGATGGCTCAGCCCCTCCCAAGGCATTTAACCCTTCTGCACATACTGCCACCAGCCCGGGATTGAGTGGGATGTGCCCACGTGTGATGGTGACAATCTTACACCCACACAGCCCGGGCTGTCACGCACATGGTGTCACCTAAGCTGGGGGGAGGTGTCTGTCACCCTTCTCCCAGGACAGCCCCAAAAATAAAGAAGTTGTCACACACCACACCCTCCCTTCCCAAATTATTGCTTATCCCAGATCAAAAAGGGGTTGTGCCTTAGGGGGTTACAGATAAGAGTTTTGGGCCCCCATGGGAGTGGTCAGAGCAGCATCTTTCCCCTGCTCTGTGGGTTGAATTAGGGTTGGTCCCCTGTATAACCCCTGTCCTGTGTCCTCCACTGGTCCAGAGCCCCTGCTCCCTTCCAGGTGGGTTCTGAAGGTGTTCAGGGTGGAGGGGTTGATGGATCATTTGACTCTGCCTGCTCTGGAGTGATGGGCACTGCCAAGATCAAGCCCAGGGATCCAAGAAGCATCCCCCATGCTGGCCTTGTCCATGAGAGCATCACACTCAAGGGGGGCAGTGACAGATCCCCCCAAATGCCTTGCAAAACAGGTCCTGAACCCACTGAAGAAAATCCCCAGCTCTCCTGGCATGCCAGCCCAGCCCCTGGGCAGCAGCCACGCTGCGAACCCGCCCCATGAACTGCTCTAGATTCAAAACAATCCCCTTCTGCCTTGCACAGCACTATTTTTAACCCCAAGCCTGTTCACAGCCCGGCCTCAGCCACGGCTGCGTCAGCACAAGTGTGAAGACAAGGAGCTGTGGCTGCCATACACGGAGGTGAAGCTCTCCCAGGGGGATCCAGCTCCCCCTCGCTCCACCTTCATCTTCCTCACGGGCTTTTACAAATAGGTTCTGGCTTGCTCCAGGATGGAGGTCCTTGCACCTCCAATCCCAGCCCCACGGTAGGAAGCTTTCCTACTAGAAATGCCCCAGTTTGGCCAGTACAGGAGGGCAGGGAGCAAGGACCTGCTTATCTTCCCAGCCCTGGATGCCCACCCCTGCCCTAGTGGTCCTGCCAGGCTGGAGGATGGAGTCTGAGAGATGAAATCCCCATCACCCACTTTTAAAAGCTTTTATCAGCAATTTATTGCAGGGCCGAGGAGATGACTCTGGGTGACAACTCCAGGTGACCTCCCTGTACCTCGACAGCTCTGGGTGACCTGCTGGGACCTCAGCATCTCATCCTTCTTCCTCCTGCCCCCGATGCAGCCTCTGAGCTGCACCCTCCTTCCCACCCTGCTCAGGTCCCGCACAGCCCCTCAGCAGTGTCATCCTGCCACTCCCAAGCCCCCAAAGCCCTTCACCTCCCTCAGAGACAACTCACCGGCCACCCCGTGTCCTCCAGAAGCCGCTCTCTCTCCGCCTGTCCCCCAGATGTCCTCTGCAAGGAGTGGGACAGGATGGACCCCGAGATATAGGGCTGGGGGGCAGAGGTTTTATGAGGAAGGAGATTTGGGGGGCAGAGGTATGAGGGAAGAAGGTTTGGAGGGCAGAGGACTGGGGGCAGAGGGGGCCGGGCTCCGACA